GCGCACCTCTGAGCGCGTTCCCTGTTTGTCTTGGGCTTCTCCGGGGAGGTGGCTTGTGCCGGTGGCGGAGACCTCATGGCCACCGGGTTGATGGAGTTAGCCGCGGAATCACAGTACCGCTGTTTGCTTGATGGACTTCAGTTTTTCCAGCTGTCCGATGGAAATAATCATACACTTAGCTCTCAGGGTTGTGATTGGATTTTTCCCTTCCTAGAACCATGGCTGAAGTGCACGTGATCGGGCAGATCCTAGGGGCCACCGGTTTCTCTGAAAGCAGCCTCTTCTGCAAGTGGGGCATCCACACAGGTACCCTCCCCAGGCCTGCTTCTTCTCCCAACCAATGCCCAGCCCCCTCTCCTGGCCTAAGTCCCTGTGTCCTTTCCTCCACCTGGCTCAGACCATGCCATCTGCTTTTTTAAAAATCCTTTTTTTTTGGGTTATCCCATCCTCTGAAAGCCCAACCCCTGAGGATAGGGGGCTGTTAGGTAGAACACATGAACTCACTTCCAGCCCTCAGGCCAGTTGACAAGCTGGGTGTGATGATGCTGGGATTAAAGCCGTGTACCACCCACCACCCGACAAGCTAGGGAAAAGTAACTAAGGTTGCACAGACAAGGAGATAAGATTAGGGGCTGGCGATTGTAGCTTGTTGCCAGAGAGTTCTAGCCTAGCATATTCAGGGCCTTGGGTTCCATCCCCAACACTGCAAAATACACAATACATATGTGAATAGTACCAGGATTTGTTTATTTATTTACTGGTTTCTGAGACAGGGTTTCTTTCTCTCTCTCTCTCTCTCTCTCTCTCTCTCTCTCTCTCTCTGATGAGTATTTATTTATTTATTTGAATTACAAACAAGATGGAATTACATGACGATCGAGACAGGGTTTCTATGTGTAGACCTGGCTGTCCAGGGAACGTCTTACTCTTTAGAACAGGCTGGTCTCGAACTCACAGAGTTCTGGAACCAAAGGCGTGTGCCACTGCACAGCAAATAGTGCCAAGATATATGCTCTTTCGTGAGTTCTCCATCTCCCTCCAGTTTTCCTTTAGAGACTGGGACCCACACTTTAGCCTGTGCTGACCTGAAACTTAACAGACAACCCAGGGAAGCCTCAGACAAGCTCACTCCCAAGTGGTGGACTGCAGGTGTACACTTCTGCTGCCAAGATCTGAACCCAGATATTTGTAGAGTCCCCACTGGATAACTCACGCCCCAAGGGGGAAACACTCCTGTAGCCATGGTGGGGCTCCCTTCCTGCAGGCTGTTACTCACCTACAACCCTATATGTCCTGGTTCTCATTACAGGGGCTGCGTGGAAGCTCTTGTCAGGTGTGCGGGAGGGCCAAACGCAGGTAGACACACCTCAGATAGGGGATATGGCTTACTGGTCCCACCCCATCGACCTGCACTTTGCCACCAAAGGTCTCCAAGGTGGGTATAGGATGAGAGGCGGGGGGCCTGTCACACTAGGAGGAGCTGGGGTTGGAACACCATGGTGTTCCCGCTCCTCATACTTTGTGAGTCCCTTCCCTGGCACAGCGTCCTCTAGAGAGGTGGATCTGAGGCCATCGAAAACCCTAGGCCCATGGAATGTGACAGAAGTGGCAGTAGAAAAGGTATCAGGAAGTAGGGGTCAAGTGGGAGGGGGGCTGCCTTCCGGCAAAGGGCACCGAGGAGGCTGGGAGGGGTAAAGAGAGCAAGATGGGGAGGAGAGGGGCAGGAAATGGGCCAGTTGCCTTTGCTCACAAAAGGAGAGGCCCTGCTCAAAGGGGAAGTGGGTGTACGAGGGAGGAGGGTATCTCACCAGCCCAGCTTTTCTGGTTAAAACG